GTTACAAAAGATTTCGGTTTCAAATAAATGCTGTTCTTTTCAACCTTCTGATTCAAATAATCCTAAAAAAATATCAGTTTCCACAGAAATATTACGCAGGACAACTGCTTTAATTGATAATGCATTTATAATACATTGATAATAAGAAGTGTTTCTTGAGCATAAAATTAGAATATTAGAATGATTTCTGGAGGATCATGTGACACTGAAGACTGAAATACCGTATTGTCCCGAATATAAGACGATGTTTTTTTCTTGGAAATACATCTGAAAAAACGCGGTCGTCTTATATTCAGGGTCTAGACTTTGACATGTCAATAATACACCCACAACACTAGGTGGCGCCAAAACCGCATAAAACGAGTGTGCCATGAAATACGTAATGTAATGTGTGATAAATATTTTCAAATACCTGTTACATAAAACTGGTAAAAGGAGTGTGTTAAAAAGCAAGTTAGTTTTTTGCTGTGTTATTAAAAAAGGGAATGAAACTACAAATATTGTGGTATTGAGACAACATTTTTCTGACATGTGCGTCATCATGGTCAGAATAAACTGGATGTGTGAAACAATTTCGTATTTCTTTCTTTTTCAGTTCCTGGCGAGACAGGAAGCTTTACTGCTAGCAAAAAATGCAGAGATGTCTTAAAACTTATGTACCAGCAGGCCTTTTTGCAGACATTAGTTTCCCTTCTCTTTTGTTCAAGAGAAATGTGTCAAATCTGTCGTCACTCCCTCAGTCGATGTGTTAAAAACACTCACACAGCAGCGTTAACTTGTTTTCTGAAATGTAATACCTAGATAATATGCCACAAAAATACAGTCTTATAAATGTACATTAAATAAAAAAAAATTCAAATATATTAAAACTATAGATTGTCAATGTTATTAACTGTGGAAATGCGTCATCACAGTCTTTGAAAAGGGTCCACAGTAATAATATCTACAGTCCCCGACACTGTAATGTTGTCCATTCCTGAGAAATACTACAGCAGAAGTGAAAACAATTGTCATAAAATAGCACATAAGTTAGTGATTAAATAACAAGCTGATTACACAAACCAAGCCAGTTTGTTGCCGTTAATAGTGTCATTCAGAGAGCTGTACCTTGATGAGGCGGGCAGGGTGCTGGAAGGAGTCTCTCAGCTCTGGTGGATCTTCTGCCAGAGCACAGGACTTATGGTACAGCTCATCTAGACTAGGGTTGGCCAGCAGCATTACCTATAACAAACATTAATATTAAGCATGACTGCCAAAAACCACTGAATGAAATCTGGTGAGACGTATTATTCTGAAAATGAATTTGACAGTGAATTACTGGTGGTACCTTTGCGCTGTAAGTGTGATTGGCATCATGTGGGTCCAGCACAGCTGTGTTCTTCACCAGAGAGTCCACCTCTTTATGCATGATGTGGAAGTTACAGTAGTTTCCAAAGGTGAAAGGTCGTGTTAAGGGAAAGGCTTCTACCCAGGTAAACACAGCGTCAAAGAAGTCACTGGGGATGTAGAGGCTCTGATACCTCCGCCGCAACTCCATCACGTCACAGTTGTGACTGCTGAGAACAGAGACAGACAGTCATTAGGGGTGTAACGGTATACGTATTCGTACACGTATTCGTAACTTCACTGGAAACTTCCAGTTTTATATATTGTTACTTTTGATAAAAGTAAAGTCTCATCTTTCAAATTATGTCCTTTTTTCAGGAAATTCAAACAATAAATGCCGTTTTGACTCTTTGATGTGGCGTGACAGATCGCTGTATAAACGCCTCAGTTCAAACGCCAGCGCGATCATCTCTTCCACTTTACTACTAGTTTTAATGTGAAATAAACATGAATGAACATCTCATGCCTCATGTAATCGCTCTGATTTGCTCAATCAGCGTTTCAACCGCAGAAAGACGTCAATAGAACAGCTTGTGAACAAAACGTCAGGTAGCATTTCATTTACCTCAGGCAAGTCATCAGTGTCCACAGCACATTAGTTCGCTAGAGAAATTAAGTCAAAAGAAGAGCATTTTGCGAAATATTAAGACTATATTCTCATTATATTTTACTTTACCTGTTAGTGATGTTTTAATTATTTTAAGTTGAGTGTTGATTACTATATTTAAAAATCAATAGTAATTAAATTTAACTTTGGGCTCTGTTGTTAATTGTACCCTTAAAGTAATGTTAAAGGACTCCCTATAGTTTAGAGCATAAGCTGAGGTAGATTTTTATCCCTAAGAACATTTTAGTTATAATTGAATTTATTTAAAGAAAGAGCAATTTGTTCAGTAAACCACTGTTTAATTAAAAAAAAAAAAGCAATTTTATGTTTAGTTTTTCCCCCCTGCTGTACTGAAACCATACCGAACCGTGATGTCAAAACTGAAGTACGTACTGAACCGTCATGTTTGTGTACCGTCCTCTAACAGTCATATATCAAACATAGATTAAACATACATCTAAACAACAACGGAAAAAATTGCACCATAATAAAGTAACTAACTTATAAATGCATATCTCAAGATCTCTGTGCTTTTTTTAATCTGTTGAGCTCTTAATGCAAGTTTAGGGTCCGTGAAGGTCAAATTTAATTGCTTTGTCATTTTCAGATGGTTGTATATATCCAACTGATAGATCCAATCCAGTGATGCCTAAATTTTTCATGAAACAGAGGTTGTGTTCGTATATTCCTTCCCATTGCGACACATCCGAGTGAAACGGCTTTTCAAACAAGAAAAATAAAATGTAGTGAGGTATTTAATTGGTTCATCGTGAATTGACTGGAAAAAAATAGTAATTTGCAACAAGACATCTCAAGATTCTTCCTTTACGACAATTAAGGGTGTATTCATACCCGTCTTATTTGGTTCGATTGAATCGAACTCAAGTTCGTTTCCCCTCTTGGTGCGGACCTTTTTGGCAGGTGTGAATACAGCAATCGCACTCGGGTGCGGACCAAACAACCGTACCGAGGTCTCGGTCCGCTTCCAAACGAACTCTGGTATGGTTCGTTTAAGGTGTGAATATGACCCGACCTCGATCCGACCCAATTGTAGTTTGGCTTCACGCTCAGAAACAGACAGCTCGCGCATATAGTGCTGTTATTTGCGTACCTTTATGAGCAAAAATGATGGCGTATTTAATTTGTTTCCACTGATGTCCTGAAGCGCACTTCAGCCTACGAAAGATCTCCATGATTAGCCTGTTTTTGCACTTCCTGTTTTTCCCTGCTTGAGAATTTCTGTCCAATGAATGGATGACCTTAGCACACGTGTGGTTTTGTTTACAATTTCTGGTTCACTTGAAAAAAAAGGGCAGTGTGAAAGCGAACCACACCAAACTAAAAAAAATCAACATTGTATTTGGTCCGGACCAAAGCAAGTGAACTAGCGGACTTTCCTGGTGTGAATACACCCTAACTTACCCATCGAGAGAGAATTTGGAGAACTGCACAGTATATCTTGGGACGACTCTGCGTGGCCGTCTTGGAGAACGTTCTCTGCGAGGAGACCGGTCTCTAGAACGCTTCCGTGTGGGTGAACGTTCTCTTGATCTCCTTCGCTCTCTATCTCTTTCCCGACTACACAAACACAGGCAAAATAAAGCATGAGCACGTACAGCAAATAAAGATTCACAATATCCATTTTTTGGTTGTACTTCAGACCAAATTACTGAAGCAATTCTACTCAATTACTCATGAGAAAGTCAGGTGTATACATGAGCGCTGACCTGCGGTCATCTTTCCTCAGGATAAGTTCTGGTCGGTCACTGCGGCTGGGGAAGCGGGGTGAGGGGTCCACACGCCTCACCTGTTGCGGCTGAGGCATCATCCGCACTGGCGGCTGCAGCAAACCCCCTGAGAACACAGAGTCTACACATGGCAGAGAGAGAGAGAGACGGGAGATCAGATTTGATTCTGTAAAAGTGTGACTCTTTGAATGGTGGAGGGGTTGATGTACCTTTAGGGGGAGGCTGGGGTAGCAGGGGCTGTGGGGGATTCTGCAGCAGTGGGGCCAGAGAGGCAGCTGAGAGCTGGGCCTGCAGAAGAGACGGAGGAGGTCCCTGGGCCGGGACACTGAACGTGGTGGGCGGGGGTAGAGACTGCAGCATGGTGGGACCTGGTTTCATCATGTTTGGGCCTGGCGGCTGGTTCTGAAAAAGAACAAAAGTGTTGGGTTTGCTAGTATGTACAACTGCCAATTTTATAGTGCAAAATCACAACATAATTTTGAAGAAATATCCCCCGCCCCCCACATAAAGGTAGTAAATTTCAACCACACTGACACTTTTTAGAAAATTAATTGAATTCATACTACTGTTTATGAATGAAATGAATTCTTATTTTCAGCAAGCATGTATTAAATTGATCAAATATTACATTTATAATGTTCCAAAAAATTCTGTTCTTTTAAAATAATTTATTTGAACTTTCTATTCATCAAAGAATCCTGAAAATTCAGCTTTTCCATGGAATAACTTACATTTTCAAATTAAAATACAAAAGAGTTATCTATAATTGTAATAATATTTCACAATAGTATTGTTTTTACTGTAATTTTAATCAAATAAATGGTGAGCATAAGAGACGTTTTTCAAAACCATTTTAAAAATCTTACCAACCACAAACCTTTGAACGATAAGGTTCGATAAGGTGAAACCTTTGACAAAATAAAAATTATATATTAAATTAACATCACCTAGCTCTACTTCAGACAACAAGTCAACGTCTATCAAAAGAAAACACAAACATATTACTGCACATTGATTCAACACATCAAAATGATTATGACAGCTTTCAACTAGGAGCTATAAAACAAGCCTTTAAATAAATAACATTAATCCAGTACATAATGTTTAGGTAACCTGTTTTATAGGATGGGAGGAAAATGTGCCTAAATGAGTAATCAAGGAGCACTAAACCCAGTGAAAAGAAAAGAAATGGTTAGAAATAGCTGGAGACAGAGGAAGTAGAACCACTGCTATTACCATTTGCGGGTTTTGGCCCCTGTTAAAAGACACAATAGATTTTCAAGTCTTGTTTTGGGGGGAAAAAAAGCACAAAAGGCACTTTCTTTAAAAAAAAAAAATTATAAAAAGTATAATGGGCATTTCCAAAGGAGACAATGTCTCACAAGTATTGTTTGTTACATAAAACAAAACAGACCACAGTTTGCATTTGCTTTTTCATCATGCACCTTCTCAGTGTGGCATTTGTGTCCAGGTGTACGGATGTCAAATGTACAGGTAATTCATTATCAGGTAAAAAAAAAAAAAGTAAATAAATACAAAAACAGAAGTAGAAACAATACCAGTCTTCGTTCTTTATTTTATAAAAACTCAAAGAAAAAAACTGCACCCACATGACATTATTTCATTTTTTAAAATTATTTACATTAAAGGGGTCATATGATGCTGCTAATAAGAACATTATTTGGTGTATTTGGTGTAATGCAATGTGTTTACGCGGTTTAAGGCTCAAAAAACACATTATTTTCCACATACTGTACATTATTGTTGCTCCTCTATGCCCCGTCTTTCTGAAACGCGTTGATTTTTACAAAGCTCATCGTTCTGACAAACGCGGTGTGCTCTGATTGGCCAGCTATCTAGTGCGTTGTGATTGGCCGAATACCTCAAGTGTGTGACGGAAATGTTACGCCCCTTACCAGGTTCAGGAAACTTTCCTCCGTAAAATGAGCTGCACGCACTCGAATATTTGGGTTGACCTGTTCTGGAACAGTGTTGTAAATAAAACTTAACCACTGATTTCTGATTTGCAATTTGTAATTAGCATTAAGAATCATTATAAAAGGTAAAACTTCACTGGTATTTGGACTACTGAAATTTTTGAATAAAAATAATTAGTTTGGGTAATTACAAAAATAAGACTAAAATAAAACAAAAACAAAAACAAAACAAATATGACTACAGCATCCCCCCCAAGACAAAGTGCATTAATAACACAGCAGATGCTGATTAGCTAAAGATGGAATCTATGGATTGCAAAAAATATGTTTAATTACAAATCCAACATGCAAGCTGTGAGCTGTAATACAGGGAAGGGTGAAAAAGCTTCAACAGAGACTTGTCTTGGGTGGAAGGAAAGAAACTAGGGATGCACCGATACCGATACTGGTATCGGGCCCGATACTGAGCTCCTGTTCTCGTACTCGTACTCGTTAAAAAAGCCCAGATACCAAACGCTGATACCACACAGCATGTGATCAGTGCCATATTCAGACAAAGAGACACCGACAACAGAACAACAGACAGCAGAATGGAGTTATAAGAGATTAAGGATGTCTACGAAGTATATGTATGCAATGAATATAATGTTAAACTGGGAAAAAAAGTTCAGGTTTGCATGAACCTGGTTGACAGCATGCCCAGGAGACTATATGCTGTCATTAAGGCTAAGGGTCACCCGACAAAGTACTGATAGTTGTGTAAATACTGTCATACTAACAGCTGTCTATTTTTTTGGTTGATTGTAATCCATTAGGCTACATACCTTTCTATCAAAGTTATCTAACATTATCAACCTGAATTTGTTCTAACACAGTTTAACTCTGAGTTCTTGTTATATGTTATTACCATTTTCTAAACTATAGCGAATAAACTGTGATAATGTGAGAAATGTTGAAGGTGTCTGAATAAATTTTGGTTTGACTGTATCTATTTGATAAATGAAGTTAACCAACTAACATTATACATACTCTTTTGGTTTCTGTACCCAATATTTAAAAAATTTACAAATGCAATAAAATATTGGTATCGGTACTCGGTATCGGCAAGTACCAAAAATAAAAGTATCGGTATCGGGCGAGTACTGGAAAAAGTGGTATCGGTGCATCCCTAAAAGAAACCCAAGGACATGTGACTAAAGCCTGTTTGTGAAACAGGAGAGTGGAGGAGCGGATCAAGCAGAAGACAAAGGGGAAGAGGAGGAGGAGGAGAGAATGGAGATTTGGGGCGCAGGGGTCAAGTGGTGTGGGTTACATTTTGTCTTGAATCCACCGCAGAGTGTATGTCAGAGTAGCGCTGCATTCCTGCTTCAGAGTAAAAGCTGGACAGCTGTGGGGAAACCTGAGGTAAGGGCTGAGGCGGCTGGTGCTACATGGAGATTAAGAACACAGGAATCAACAGCAGCATCATGACACACTGTGAAGGCAGAACCATATCAGACTGTATCTGCCAGGGATCCATTCAGACCACGTGGGTTTGCTTACCGTTTGGTTGGGCAGCTGAGGTAATGTCTGGATGCGCTGGGCATTCCATTTGAAAGGCATGTTAGGATTGTAGACAGCTTCCACCAGAACACGATCGCCGACTTGGGGTGTTTTCCCCTTAACTGCACTACAAAAAAAAAAAAAAACACACACACACCCAGGAGTTACACACCTGACCTTGAAAGCTCTTAAGTACAATTGCACATTTACAATATAATGCACCTGAGCTGGAAGAAGACATCCTCATCAACAAAGCCGAAAGTATCGTGTAGCTTGCTGACGACCCCGGTGAAAACACGCTGCTTTTGGGGTTGAGTCTGCTGTTGGTGGCTGGAGCGCGGGGTCGGGTAGGATACGGTTATCTGTGCCGTCTGCTGCGGGTTTGACAGGCTCAGGCTGGTGGGCAAGGCAACAGGGGGCTGCAAAATACACACAGCACCACTGTTAGAACATAAACTCTTCATATCTGGCAATGTTAAGGGATCTCTTGCTTCGTTTTACACATTTAAACATAGTAAGATGTGCTTTGCAAGAAAAATATGTGATGCATATGCAGAATTTGGAAACACAGTGTACCTGTGATAGCAGGGCTTGTTGGGGTTGTGAAAGCTGTGAGAAATAAAGAATAACACAAAAGAAAACATTACACATTAACTATAAGGCAAAAACTGTTAACATATAAATATATTTTATTTATATAAAATCCAAAATCTAGAAATTTTCTACGTTAACTATATAAATATAAGCTTCAATTACTACAATATACCTTTCGAAAATTTGGGGTCGGTATAGATTTTTTTTAAGTCTCTTATGCTCACCAAGGCTGCATTTATTTTTATAAAAAATAATAAATCGTTTTTTATTTTAATATATTTTTAAAATTATATTAATATATTTTATTTATTCCTCTAAAGGCATCATCTTTCAAAAATCATTTTACTATGCTGATTTTCTGCTCAAGAAACATTTCTTATTATTATCAATGTTTAGAATCAGTTGTTCTGCTTAATATATTTGTGGAAACCATGAGATTTTTTTTCTGAATTCTTTGATTAAAGGGGTCATATGATGCTGCTAAAAAGCCGGGCAAGAGTGAGCTGAGGCGGCGGGGTCGAGAACGGCGGTCCTGGCGAAGGAGCGGTGAAAACGGTGAAAGCATATCCGGTGATCCACAGCACTAAGTTGATGTATTTCCTCAGCGACCAGCACAGATCAGCTCCAGGTATGACGAAGCGGATATCGTCCTCTTTTGGAAGACCAAACAAAGTGGTTTCGCTTTCACAACGAAGCACACAGCGTCTTCACGACATGGCGACAGCGGCAACAGTAATACTACAGCGAGAATAAAAGTTACGCTTTCTTTCTTTGCGTGAACATTTGGGGGCTTTATGCAAATCTTCCCACATAGTGAGGTAGGTATGTGGGGGCGTGTTCGAACGAGCCGTTTTAGGTAGGTGTGGCTAACTCTTAACTTTTATAAAGAATATCTCTTTGGATTTGAGACTTTAGTCTTTGCAACTTTACAGATCTTCTTTATGCACCAAGAGCTTGTAACACTCTAAAGAGAAAGGAAAAAATGAAATCGCATCATATGACCCCTTTAATAAAAAGTTCAAAAGGACAGCTTTTATTTAAAATAGAAATCTTCAGTAACATTATCAATGTCTTTACTGTCACGTTTGATCAATTTTTATGCATTCCTTTAATAAAACAAATCTTACTGACCCCAGCAGCTTTTTTTCCAACCACAATTAAATGATGACACCCCAGGTTCGAAAAGTATGAACTGAAAAATCAATACATGCTTGAATTCACATTCAGAACCAACCACATCTAGACTGGAAATGAGTCCTGATAGTTAAATAATGCAGACAGGCACTGCAGCACTTGCCCTCTTTAGAGTAACCACTGTGCTGACTGCTGCCCTTTTAGTTCATCTGCCATGATGTATACATTTATGAACCTGACAGGCGCTTGTACCTAAAGAGACCCAAGACCTCGTGGTACGCACAAGAAATCACAACAAACAATACAGAAAACCTTTATGATAAAACTAGGGCTTCAGAAAAGCTATGAGGCAAAGTACAAGAGGAGGTGTGGATGAGAGCCAACACATGTACCTGATGTGGGACGTTGTAAAGAGTTTGTTGATGTGGAGGTTGTGGTGGGGGGGCTTGAGGCGGCTGCTGTTGTTGTTGCTGCTGCTGCTGCTGATACTGCTGCAGGGCTGAATTGATCTGCGACTAAAATAAAACACACCAGTGACTCAAGACTGCTCACTGCAGGCTGGGGGAAGGGCTCAGGTTACAGCACTCCTACACTGAGCATGCTAGAAATGCATATGAGTACAATTCAGACTGATGGAGGAAGCACTTTGTGCATTGCAGTGAACAGAATGAGATTAGGTTAGGTGCAGAGCGCACACTATATAACTAATACTATTTTTGGAAAATAATAGGTTCTGTGCTAGAGTTGCACGATTAATTGAAATAAAACTGAAATTGCGATATGGCTTATTGCGATTGTCAGATATCAACGGCTGAGATTTAATTAAATCAATATATGTGCTGCATCTTTTAATAGTGAAGGGTGGTATTGTGAGTGTCTTGGTTCACAGTAAACGCTGTTCCGCACAAACTCTATCTCTGCATCTGCTCTGAGTTTGGGTTTAACGTGCATTTGGGAATTCAGCATTTCTCAACCATCTTCCCATACTTGTAATGAGAAGTGCTTAACAATCTAAGAGAAGCATTAAGGTCTCCCTGTGGTTTTCCCATCAAAATAGAAGTTTGATGGTTTAACGTTTGAAAATGAAGACATTACGACGGCCATAAATATTATTATTGTAATTTTAAGGTTGTAATATAAAATAAATGTATTATTATGACTGTATTATTTTCCTAAATACTCTTTTTTTTATTTTACGGTGAAATTTTAGAATAGTAATATACTTTGTTGTTATTTAGTATGCTTATGAAATAAACATATAGTTTATGTTTATATTTTATTTAATAATAATAATATTTAGTTTGCTTGTAATAATAATAATACTTATTATTTATCCTTATTGATATATAAATAAAAAAAGTTTGGCTAAATTGTGCAGTCCTGCAAACAAGCACAGAAAACTTGGAATTTTTTTTTTTTTTCGCATTTTAAATTGCAAACACAATTGTTATCAGAAAAATCGCAATTAGATTTTCGTCAAAAAAACTGTTTTCCCAAAATCATGCAGCCCTTTACTATACTACTTAGTTTTCCCAAATAAATGCTTTCATGACACTAGAAATGAAAATGCTGATTGTTATTCGCTAGGAATTAGGGATAATTGCATACTATTCACAGTATACATACTATATACTGCAGGATACTGCATAAATGACACATCCAGCATGTTAGTATGCTACTACAAACATAGCCAAAGGCTTAATTGTGCATTTACTCCAGCTGCATTACGTTGATGGATCACAGCCAGGTCTTCACCTGCTGTAATGCAGCGGCAGCTGCGGCCTGTTGCTGGAGCACAGCGGTCTGCTGAGAGAGCTGATAGTTGGCAGCTGACTGTGTGTTGAGGGAGGCTGCCGCTAAAGCTGACTGCTGAGTGTACATAGGAGACGCTCCCAAGAGGGATGGCTGCTGTACTCCTAAAGCTATGGGAGAAATGTGTGAGATTGTAAGGACAATGCAACTGCTGTCAACAACATTCAAACGAACACAAGCAAACTTTGACCACTCAGTGAAACCCAAACAAAATCATCTTGAGCTTTGACCTTCACAAATAAGATAAAGCTAGAGATTATGAATGCATTTTTAGACTAACATTCAGTAATTTGTAATTGAAAGCGAAAGTAACATAGTGCCAATAATTCAAGTATTTGCTGATTTATGATGACTTACCGTGTAAACTGTTCAGGTCCAGTGACTGTCCTGAGTGGCCGGGCTGTGAAACTGCTGTTGCGGCAAACTGGGCCGCCCACGGAGGGTTCTTCTGACCCCCGAACTGGGCCATGGAGACCTGCTCACGTTTTCCGCTGGATCAGGTGGCAGATTATTTCCTGCAAGGACAATAATCACTTACTTACTAAAACGGCAAGCTCTAAACATTACAAGCATAAAACTGGATGGACAGGAACTGAAATATAGTGTCTGTTTCAGTGGCTGCTCGCCAAGACAACACTACTGATAACCACAAGACACACAAAGTCAATGGTTTTGATCTTTAAGGCCCCTATTGCCCAAGACAACAATCAAAAGGCCCTCAGTCATACATCAACTATATGATATTTTATTACTACTACTGCTGCAGTAAGACGCTTGTTTTTAAACTTTCTGAAACAGAAAGTGGGGCTGGTAATAGCTTAAAATAATCAAGCTTCCAATTATTCTAAAGTTTTTTAATAGTTAACACATTTAGGTTATTATAAAGACTAACTAAAACTAAATAAAAAATATGTGAAGAAGATTTGTTTCATTTACAGATAACAGAGCTGTGTTTGCAAGATTGTTAATTTAATTTAAATAATCCCTCATCTGACTCTGAACGCACTCGGACCTGCTGCCTAGTTAGGGATCTCTCTAGACTTTGAAACGCAGCCAAATGCCATTTGTCAGCTCACTAAATCGTCTGTAATAAAATGATTGTACTTAATCCCCTCGTACAAAAAAGCAACGACTTTTGTTTAATGTATAGATTTCATACATAAATACAGTAGCTTTAAAGAAGATCTATGTCATTTACTGATAATTAACAGCCGAGTTTGCAAGATTGTTAACTTAATTTAAAAAAGTTTAAACTCAGACATGCTGTCTATTTAGGGAGCTCACTAGATTTTGAAACACAGCCAATGCCATCTGTCAGCTCCAGAACACCAGCAGACTTTTTAGACCCCCTTCCCGCTTTAAAACTCCGTTTAAGTCCAGATCAACAGCGAAAACGAAACATGAACTTCTTCGCGACCTTTGTTTGAAGACCCAAATAATTACTTTTACTATGCAATCTTTTCTCTGCACTAGCTTAGCACACCAACGTATTCTCAATGCAGCAAGCTAAGCAGCTAACGCAGCAACACAACACAAACCAAACCATTTAAAACCTTGTATTAGGTCTCTCAACCACTATGAAGCGTATTTACTTAAACTAAACAGCAGTCTCAGTGGTAGTATGTACAGCACAACTGTGCTGACTGCAGTGTTTTGTTTTTCAGCAGTCTGATACGGGCCCTCGCATGAGCACACTGTCTAGTGTTCTGGCCGTGCACTTACTAGTCTCCTTTACACCTCAAAAGTGTATACAATGTGCGCAGAATAACACACAATCAAGTGCATGACGAAGCATTAATAATATAACAAAACTTCAGTCAATATGTAAGCATGCAAGCTAGCTGTTGTTGTCGCTGCTTACCGTCCGTCCTCTCTCATTCACCGGTAGAGAAACACTGAAGTCTGGATGACGCGTCGCGCATGCGCAGTTCGCTTGAAGCTCATCAGTGCAAAGCTGATCCAGGAGCGGATGACATAAGACAACGAAGAAGAAAAAAAAGTAAATCCAAACAATCCTACATATATATAACTGAATCGTTGTTTGTTTTTATTATTATTATTACTCAATCATTTTATTTAAAAATCATGTTTTCTTCGATCAAAATTAATAAGACTCCTTATATGAAATCCTAGAGAATAAATTGTCGGTTTTTAGACAAGCTGGAACTGTAGACTGTTTATGCCCATTGTATATAATAATAATAATAATAATTAGGATTTTCCAACTATGTAGTAAACAAGCAAGTCTTTTTAAATGTCCTCTGAAAGTTTCATTCTTAGGTTTTAAGTTTCAAAAATTATTTCTATGATGAAACAGCACAACATTCCAATTGTTTTTGTAAAGTAAAACACACACTAACTAAATAAATATTGCTGTCCATAAAAGCAAATTAGCATTTTAAGAATTAGTTTCAAAATGACACCATCTACATGTGTAATGCTCATATCCCAAAATTATTTAATGCCATAAGTGCTTCTAAAAGACTGTTTCTGGGCATATTTATATTAGATATTCAAATCTCTCATTCTGGAGTAATTAGTGAAACAGGCTGGTTCATAAACATGCTGACGTTTTTATGCTGAAATGGAAAACGGAGTAAAAAACAGAAGCTTATAAAAAAACAAAATGCAGAAAAATATACATTCAAAGAAAAGTGGTAAACAGTAGGACAAATATCTACACCAAGACAATGACTAATTTAAACACAACTGTTTTATTTCATTATAGGTCCTCCAGAACTGCTGGATGGCAGCTGTAGATGATCATGAATACAGACTTTCACAACTGACCACATTCTCAAGGACTCTTAGAGCTGTGGAAGATCCGCATTCCTTCAAGTGCTCATTTCAGGTTTAAGAATGTATCAGGATCACAGCATTGTATTCATGCTATAAAAGAACTCCAACTTAATTACTGCACTCACCAGACGTCTAGGTGAAATCGCAGTGTTCAATAAGCATTGTAATTAAAAGCAACCATCTTCAATTTAACCTTTTCTGTCAGACAAGTAACAAACCTGTTAAGAATCCTTGTAACTCAGTGAGTGCACTTGCAATCACAATATTGCACTGTTATATTAGAAACAGAACAACTTACAACATTGAGCTTGGTTAAATATTACGCTATATTCTAGATTCTGCAACTTAAATATACAGCATCCTTATGGAGTGTGTGAATCCCACTAGAATTATGACACAACAATAGCAAATTGAATTGTGTACAGCAGAGCTGGATCTCATGCTATGAGTCTTGCAGTTTCTTGTCCAGTTCTGTAAACACCTTCCTGTTGATCTCATCCACTTCATCCTCGACCTTAATAAAAAAGAAAAAAGAAAAAAAAACACAATAATGAATAATGAAATTCATGATCACTGTAGTTAAAATATGCAAAGATGTTCTCATGAATAACTTACCTGTTCTACCTTGTCCACCTCGGGTATATAAAACTGCAGCATGTTCTGGATGCCATTTTTTAGGGTAACTGTGGAGCTGGGACAGCCTGTGCAGGAGCCAACCAGCTTCAGCTTCACTGTGCCATCCTCAAAGCCTTTGAATATGACGTCGCCACCATCCTCCTGAACTGTGGGTCTTAAGGAAAGCAGACACAGCATTGAGCTCTGCTGGTCATCTAAAAACCTTCAATACATAACTAGCTACTAATTTAAATGTCCTGTCCACGTATGCAGTAATTTTTGCTAAAAGCTTTTCATGCTAGTGGCTAGTATTGACATTCTAAAATTCTAAATTAATAATTATTTACGTGGCAAAATTAAATAATAAAGATTAAGCATGTTTTCAATACAGTTTTTGGAATGAAAATTGAACTATTTTAACGATAACTATTTTATATTTTAATATATTTTACAATGTAATTTATTCCTGTGATGGCAAAGCTGAATTTTCAGCGTCATTGCTCTAGTCTTCAGTGTCACATGATGTGTAAACAGCATTTATTTGAAATTATTTCTTTTGTAAAACACTATAAATGGCTTTAATATCACTTTGGATCAATTTAATGAATCCTTGCTCAGTAAGTATTCAAAAAAATAAAACGTACCGACCACAAACGTTTAAAGCGTAGTATATGTTGAATCAAAACAATATAAACATACCTGATCCGTGTGTCTAAAAGTTCCTTTATCATTAAGACAATTTCATCATCATCTTCTGTAACACCTGAAGAGTAAAGAAATAAAGATAACAATTTTAAACACAATGCATCAAAATGTATTTAGTCAATCTGTGTTAATGTATTGTCAGTGTTTCGCTCACTGCTCTCAGCGTGTGTTGCTCCCGTTGTGATGGCCTCTCCACTCTCAAAGAACTTCGTAATGACCTCAATCGCATGTCGCTTAATGTCTGTCCATTCAACATCATCGTCTGTCTTTAATAAGTTACATGTTAAATGTTAATGCAGCATTCAAACAGACTAGCAATCAAAATAAACTTTATTGCCGAACGCTACCTTAGTCAATGTGATGAAATCTGGGCCATAAAAGACACTTTTTATGCCTTCAATTTGGAAAAGATCCCTGTTGGATGATTATAACAAATGTATTTAATACACAGCAAGATTACATTCAAATCACTACTTGTAAAAGGACACTATACTTTTACAATGAAGCTCACTTGGCTAAAGGGGAACCCTCTGCTGAGTTTGATGCTGGGAAATCTCGAGTCCCCATCCCCAGCACAGGTTTACCGGGAAGAAACTTTAGACTTCTGGGGTTTGGTGTGTCTTGAGTTAAAACGGAAAGGTTTCGCACTGCAAAAAACAAAAACAAAACCTCAGTAAGATTACAGGGCTTTGAAATATTAAATTCAACAGCATTACAAACTTGAATTCATCAAAAGCGATCTGTTATGGAATAAAAAGGATATAAGGTAAAAAAAAAATAAAATGCCTGACCTGAGAATGGTTTGCATTCATACTGTTGGGACCGTATTCTGTGGGCAGCCCACATTGAATAGCACTGATTTCTGTCATTTACAGGCAATCTAAGAGAGAACATACAAGATTACAGTCTCTACACACACTGTAAAGGCAAAAAAAGAGCCATCAATACATACATATATATACTTTTATGACAGCTGAAGTTAATACCAAGGTAATCGTTTTACTGTAGTATTTTGGTGGAAACTATGGTTACTATGGTAAACCAGCATAATCGTCACTTGACATTATATTATGCAACAACACACTTCAAATCTTGGATTTGAATACTTTAAAAGATGCAGTATGTAATTTCCAACCTCAAATGATGTGACCGCATGAAGCGCAACAGACTCCATCTTACAGACGCCGCCATTTCGATTGTTTTGACATTTAGGACCCCAAAGCGGACAATAATTCTCCTGCTGAAAAATACGACTGTGTGTATGTTAAATGAATATTGTGTTTAATAAAAAAAAATATTAGTGCTTATACAAATATGTGGCAAAATGCGTAAGAAATCAGAGTGAATTACGGCAAAACAACTGCATTGCACCTGACATGTCAATATAGAAAGAGGCGTAGCGCCCTTCTTAAAGGGATAGTTTCCCAAATGTTACCTCAAAATGAAAACGACAAAATTACCATTGCCCTAAAGTGAAATTTTACTCACACCCATGATTAATTAAACTATGTCTAATTTCTCTTTTGCATAACACAAAAGGAGATGTTAGAGATATTAGACAGAATGAGTTCCAGGATTCACCTCATGTAGGCCTATGAAAAAAAACCCAGATGCAATGTAATGAATAGTCAGCCTGTCAGTCGCTCCCATTCTGCCTTACATTTCCTTTTGTGTTCATAAAAGTCCTGTATACATTTTAGACTACGGCTTTTTGTGACAAATGCATATGCAGGATGTGTCTCAAATGAGATTCTATGTATTCAATATTAATTTGTTGAACTGCAAGACTACATTTATATAATGTAATTATATAATTCATGAAGCATGTTAATCTTTTGTATTAGGCTACATTACATTGCAACACTTTCTAAATGTTATTTTAAAGTAGGCACGTGTTTTAGATGCTACTCTTGGGTCTTTTCACAGACCTGCAAAAGGGCCAATCAAAGGACTGATGAGGCCTTTACAGCAGTATGATTTATTTACTGATATCAATCAAATTATTGTAATGTGTGTATGTTGTTCACAGTCCCATTTCATTCAAAGTATATTTGTCTAATGCTTAAAAACTGAGAAGGATCATTGTCGTGACTCGGTGACACTTAGATGTTCTGATTTGGCCTGAAAAGTCTGAGAACCACTGCTCTAAACTAACATGCTCTCAGGACAACTATGAGTAAGACCATAAGTAAACAATGGGACAAGACTGAGTTGACTCAACCTAAGTTGCCTTGTGGCTGTTATATTTTCTTGTCTTAAAGAAGGTGATTACCATAGAGGAGTGGCTGGATGTGGTGGCATGTCTCAAAGCTTCCTTTGCGTATTTAAGTAAGAATGTAGCTCATCTGGTAGAAGAGACAGTAAACCGGTAAGGTCAGCAGAAAAGCGAAAGATGCTAAAGGACGTGTTTACGTGTTTTTGAGGGGCTAATATGTAAGTCAATTTTTCAAGACCTCCGTGGAAGGATCACTTCTGAGATTGTCAGCACTTTACTTTATTCTTGAACCAACTCTCTCGAAGAAACATGGCTGTTTGGGTTATCTTACCAATTGTTCTGTGTGCCGTCTCATTCATCGGGTGTTGGACAGTGTGAGTTGACAAGATTCTTTGCCATTTCTCTCAATTTAAGTTACATATTACAAATTTATGGTTTTCAAAGTCAACTAAAACTCTGATAGAAATGTTTGTCGCAGTCTTTTATTACTATTAAAATTTGTGCATCACTATTATTACTTCTTATACAGTATCTCTTCACCATTGCTGAGAATACTAGATAGATAGATAGGCATAGTTTTAATCATAATTTACAATGTTTCAGTCATAATTTATTAATATCTACATTATGACATTGATGCTGACGTGTAAATGATTGTTGCATAACCAGCTTAACAACAAAGCAAAAACAAGAAACAAGTAATTTCAGTGCTGATGTCATAAGCGTCAAGGCACATACTTTAAACGCAGTAACCAAATTCAGGATCAGAAAAACTCAAAGACAAGTCAAGGCTGGTCTTTTCTGTTATCTGGAAGGGGAGTCTGATCTAAGACAAATATTCACATACATTGTTAACCGCTCATCAATTTCTGAGTCATGCTCTATAAACAGGTTCCGGGTTACTTATTAAACAATCCTGATGCATCTCTACTGAACACTGACTGAACAGAATGAGTACAGAAACAACAAAACATGCTACTACCACAGCAAAACATTTGTACTATTTTGGGTCTGATTTAAGTTTTTTTTTTTTTTTCTCATGTGGTCTTGGCAAAAAGTAATATAACACAGCCCTACATTTTGAAAAAAAAAAAAAAAATCTGCTGATTTGCAAAAAGGCCTGGTATTACCTAATGTGATTATGCGGAGTTAAAATAACAATACAAACTTTCCGTCATGTAGTTTTTTCTTTCTCACAAAATAAGAATGAAGATTTTTCATATATACTGTATGTATCAGCTTCAATGCACTTATCAAAATAACAAAAGCAGTCAAATGTCAAATATTTAGGTTCTGAAATGCACATCATATTTTGTGAGAAAGTGTAAAGTGCTAGAGCACTACTTTGGAATCAGCACTGCAAATTTAGTAAGTATCAAGTATTGGATTTCATTCAGCAAATATGATGCAGACCTGTGTAATATATGCCACTGTAAACAACTAAAAGTGACTTTTTTAAAATTATGTTGTAAAGGGTTCTCTTGTCTTTACAGATACGGACTTGCATTAAGTTTCAACCATGTCTGCTCACTTAATAACTGGTAAAGTAATGAGTCCAACCAGCATTGCTTAATGTTTTCATTCTGTTATGCATGTTTCATTATAACATTGTTTTAACAGGGAATACAGAAACTCATGTCACCCAAATGAAACGGGGATTTGCTGCACCCTGGATAATGTCCCCACCGTAAGGTCTGTATAACACATTAACCCCTGAAACACCTGCTATTTTCCACTTCATAATCCAAAGGAATGACAGGCATTTTCTGCTTATTTTGCAGCACAAGTGGAACAAACTTTCCAGAAAACTCCCTTTTCACAGCAACAATCAATGCTGGTTCATTTTTGTGTGAGCATATATGACTTTCATATTATTTTGCACATCTGTGTCTTGACAAATGCATTCAGTTCAATTACATTTTTATCACTCATGGTAGTGAATTGTATTGTGGTTTGCAGAGAAAATCTGAGTAATACATCTTATCTTTATCCCCACAGTTCTGATTTTTTGCGTTTTCCATCATGCACACATCCTGGACAGGAACAGTGTTCATTCTCTTCTCAGTAAGATTGCAATGATTTTAGGCTGTGTGGTGTCTGTGGGTGCATTCATGGCAGGAAACTGCAATGTAAGTACAGATGAGATGATATCATTTACTAATTTCACTTGTTGCTTATGGATAGTATAAGTGCTGACAAATCACTACAAAAATTCTTAAAGGAACAGTTCACCCAGAAATTTAAATTTGCTGACATTTTACTCACACCCAGGCCATTCAAGATAAGGATGAGTTTGTTTCTTCATCAGAACAGATTTGGAGAAATTTAGCATTACATCACTTGCTCACCAGTGGATCCTCTGCAGTGAATGGGTGCCGTCAGAACGAGAGTCCAAACAGCTGATAAAAACATCATAATAATCCACACGACTCCAGTCCATCAGTTATTGTTTTGTGAAGCAAAAAGCTGCATGTTTGTAAGAAACAAATCCATCAACTTCAAACCTTCTAGCTTCTAAAATACTAGAGTCCTCTCTCCATAATACTGTTTTGTCCAGAGAAAAAGACATCTCATCTGAATCAGAAGAGAAACATGCACAGATCAGCACCGTTTACAAGTGAAAACAATCCAAAACAGTTCTAAATAAATATGTTGGTGGATTTTGATGTAAGAGGACAACAGTAGATGAACTTTTTCACTTGAGGAAGTGTTATTTTGGATTATGGAATCTAATTTTGGCCAGAAATGACCGTTTAAAGTTAAAACACCTTAATAATGGATTTGTTTAATACAAACACACACTTCACATCACAGGATGTTAATTGACTGGATTATTGATTGATTGTATTGATGGTTTTATCAGCTGTTTGGACTCTCATTCTGACGGCACCCATTCACTGCAGAGGATCCACTGGTGAGCAAGTGATGTAATGCTGAATTTCTCCAAATCTGTTCCAATGAACAAGCAAACTGATCTATTTCTTAAGTGGCTAAAGGGTGAGTACATTTTCAGCAATTTTTCATATTTGGGTGAACGATTACTTTATTGAAGGGATCTCAGGTGACATGGCCTTAAAGGGATAGTTCACCCAAAAATGAAAATTACCCCATGATTTACTCACCCTCAAGCCATCCTAGGTGTATATGACTTTCTTCTTTCAGACGAATACAATCGGAGTTATATTAAATAATGTCCAGGCTAATTCATGCTTTATAATGGGAGTGGATGGTAGCCCAAAATCTGAAGTCCAAAAAATTGCACCCATCCATTATAAAAGAAGTCCACACGGCTCCGGGGTTTGTGTAAGAAAAATATCCATATTTACAACTTTATAAATCTTAATCTCTAGCTTCCGCTAACTGTCGGACTCGTACGCACGTTCACGAGAGAGTCATATACACCTAGGATGGCTTGAGGCTGAGTAAATCATGGGGTAATTTTCATTTTTGGGTGAACTATCCCTTTAACAAAACAGTCTAACATTTTCCTTACTTTCAGTGACCTCACACTGAAAAAACAGACACCCAAAAATGAAAATTCTGTCATCACATTTCATCAGAAATATCTTAATTTGTGTTCCGAAGATGAACGGAGGTCTTACGGGTTTGGAACAACATGAGGGAGAGTAATTAATGACAGAATTTTCATTATGGGGTGAACTAACCCTTTAACTATGTATTTTATAAGATAACAGGTTGTATGACAACATTCATGTGAAGTCAATAATAGGTGAAGCCATAAAACAAACTCTTTGCATGCTTGGTAGACTGTTTCTTGTAGGCATACTTTGTGTAAATATGACGAACATGGATGATCTTATGCACATTTAGCTTTAATGACAACATTATTTGATAAACTTTTCAAACTGATCAACTTTTTTTTGTTGTTGTTTTTTTACACGTTACAATATATTTAATTATATTTTTATTATACCACCACATCACAAACTTGTAATTCCATAGTCATGTTTCCTTTTCTAAAACAGAATTAACGGACACATTCTCTTTTACTTTCTGTTCTGACATTTATAGCTCCATGAAGAACATTTAACA